TAAAGATTTTATTTATTTATTTGACAGAGAGAGACACAGCGAGAGAGGGAACACAAGCAGGGGGAGTGGGAGAGGGAGAAGCAGGCTCTCCGACGAGCCGGGAGCCCGATGCGGGACTCGATCCCAGGACCCTGGGATCATGACCTGAGCTGAAGGCAGTCGCTTAACCAACTGAGGCACCCAGGCGCCCTCTAAAGATTTTTGTCATAGGTTTTCAGCGATTTTTGTGTGAGAGGGCACATCAAACCTTGTGGATTTCTTTGTATTTATCCTTCTTGGGATTTGTAGAGCTTCATGGATCTGTATCTAGTTGTTTGTTGTCAGTTTTGGAAAATCCTTGGCTAGTATCTACAAATATTGCCTCTGCAACAGTTTTTTCTCTTCGTTTCCCATTACCTTGATCCAGTCTAGTATTAAGATGATTTAAAAAAAAAAAAAAGATTTCAGGCGCTGTTTCAGTATAAAAACTGGTCCATTTCATTTTTGCCCTTACACTAGAGCATACCGCTTTGCCGTCTCAACTGAGAGCCTCCTTCTCCACAGGCCCTCCACTACAGTTTGCTTGTTTGATCTCCTCCACCCTATGAGGCCACTGAAATCTTTGCTTGCTTCTTGAGCCTCCTGCAGCTTGGCTACCAGTCTCCTTGCTAGTTACAGCACAGGCATTGGGAAGTGCCTTGAGAAGAAGAGCAGGAAAGAATGTTCAGCTCACATTTCATTGCTTTTCTGTTCTCAGCATCTTGGCCTCTCTAGTCCTGAGGACCTTGGTTGCTCTTTGATATCTTTAAATTAAAGCGGGGCTTTTTTGTTTATATTTTATTAGTTTTTATAGTGATTTTTGGGACGAGGTTGATGTGATACATGTTCTACTGCATCTTACCTGGAGTTTGTGCAGTTATCCTCTTGAAGGTCTCTCATCTTCTCTGTTTTTGTCTGGTGAGGAGTAACTGGAAGGTTTAAATGAGACAACCGGACGAAAGAATTTGGTACAGTATGTGTTCATGTCCTTCATTCCTTTCATATCAATAAAAAACAAATAAATTTCTTACCTTACTTGCCCTATATCCCATAGGCACTGGCTTGTTTACTGAATAAATACCCTAAAATGTTGTAATGTTTACACAGTATATGTATAACTATTTTTTCTTTTATCGTAAGAGATACTTGAGGAGCAAACCAAAAACAGATGTTAAGATTACTATTTTTTTTTTCCTGTTGCTTTCAGTTTTTGTTGATTGAGGTATGTTTTGAAATACATTTTTAGAGCCTATAAATGAATCTAAGAATGAAACATTACAGTATCTGTTGAGAACTTGGACTTATGTGCACTGAGGTTTCTACTGCTTCTATCTCAGAACAAGTAACATACTACTTTTTAAACTCTGTCTCAGTTTGTTCTTCTGTAAAAGGGAGTGATTGTATTACCTCACGGAAAAGACTAAGTAAACTAAATACTGAGTGTTAGCTTGGGCTGCCACAACAAAATATCTCAGACTGGGTGGCTTAAACAACAGAAATTTATTCTCACAGTTCTGGAGGCTGTAAGTCCCAAGATCAGGGTTCCCACCAGTTTGGTTTCTGGTGAGGGCTCTGTCCCAGGCTTGCTCGTAGGCTGCCTTCTCTCTCTGTCCTCACCTAGCCCTTCTGCAGTATGTGTGCATGGTGGGGGACCCTTCCTCTTATAACACCGCTGATCTTACCAAGTTATGGCCCCACTCTCATAATCTCATCTCCAAATACAGTCATATGGGAGGTTATGGCTTCAACGTGAATTTTAGGGGGAGTCATAATTCAGCACATAGAGTATCATAATACAGAAAATTACTTAAAATAGTACCTGGCGCATTGCAGTTGTTTAATGAATGGTAGTTTTGTGGTAGCAATTATTTTAAACTTTTTTTTTCCCTTTTTTCTTTTCTAGGTGCTGACTTTGGATTACTTTTAAAACACTAGGAATGGTAATTTCTCCTTTTCGGGATCTCAAAACCAAGAAGCTAAAGAGAATCCTATGTAAATAAAGTGAAATCTCTTCTGTTGTCCTTTTGCATTTGGAGACTTCTTTATTTCACCACACACAAGGAGTCTATAACTAGTGCATTCATTATGAATGTGACAAATTTATTTTCCTTCACAAGTCCAGCTGTGAAGAGACTCCTTGGGTGGAAACAGGGTGATGAAGAAGAAAAATGGGCAGAGAAAGCTGTTGATGCTTTGGTGAAAAAACTGAAGAAAAAGAAAGGTGCCATGGAGGAACTGGAAAAGGCCTTGAGCTGCCCGGGGCAGCCAAGTAACTGTGTCACCATTCCTCGCTCTCTGGATGGCAGGCTGCAAGTTTCCCACCGGAAGGGACTGCCTCATGTCATTTACTGCCGTGTGTGGCGCTGGCCTGATCTTCAGAGCCACCATGAACTAAAACCACTGGAATGCTGTGAGTTTCCTTTTGGTTCCAAGCAGAAGGAGGTGTGCATCAATCCCTACCACTATAAGCGTGTAGAAAGCCCTGGTAAGTGAGCTTTTTTTTTTTTTATGTTCTGTTAGCCAACATGTAGTACATCATTAGTTTTTGGTGTAGTGTTCAATGATTCATTAGTTGCGTATAACACCCAGTGCTCATCATCAGTGCCCTCCTTAATACCCATCATCCTGTTACCCCATCCTCCCACCCCCTCCCTTCTGTAACCCTCAGTTTGGTTCCCGGAGTCCAGAGTCTCTCATGGTTTGTCTCCCTCTCTGATTTCTTCCCATTCAATTTTCCCTCCCTTCCCCTGTGGTCCTCTGCACTATTCCTTATGTTCTACATATGAGTGAGTCCTTTTATATTGATGTGCTTAGCAGATTTGTATTGTTTAAAATATGAAAATCATCCCTTTCCATATTTTTAGTTGTGATTTTTTTAAGTATTAGGGGAAAATATGTCAGCCCTTGAAGGTTTTCCACATTCTAACACCTTAGTCCTCTCTAGTTAATTTTATTTCTTAGGAGCAGGGCAAAATTGTCATAGCAATACTAACACCTCTAACTATAAATAAATGGTTTTCTTTCTAAATTTATTTTTTATGTTTCTCATTGGTTCCATGCATTTCTCTAACTTAGCTGTGATTTTAATTACAAAAGAAGAAAATTCAAAAAAGAAAGAAACATGGGGTTACCATCTACATGCTTGAGGGAAATACATCTTTAGTGCAATTGCCAATGACTTGTACTTTTTTTTTAAGGGGAGCATCTTTTATTTTTAAGGGGAGCATCTTTTATCACCTCTGGTGGAATTTTGCTCCCTGTGGAGGGTATGAAGGAATTATGTTCTGCTGTGGAATCATTAGATACTATTACCTTATAGGATATTCGGAGTTTTTACATATATGACCTTTTTTGGGGGGCGGGGTTACAGTAAAGGATATACATTAAAATTTGTATGGTTTTGCCCTCACATGAGAATCCACATTCTAGACCGTTACATCAATTGGAAAGTAATTAGGCAATCTTAAGCACTTAAATATCTCATTGTCAGATTGGAACCCATTTTGTTGATGGATTAGTTATTAATAGCTTGTGGTTACCAGGGGTTCCCAAATGAGGCTGTGCATTAGAATCACATGGTCCCCTCCCAGAAATTCTGATTCTAGCTCAGCCTGATAGTCTGTGTTTTTAACAAATACTTCAGATGGTGTCGAGTAGCTGTTGAACTGGTGTTAGGAACTACTGTGCTAAATCATGTACTAATGTGGTTCTCAAATAAAAGGCATTCTGTTTTTATTTTTTTTATGGACTATTTAAGACCTACAAAAAGTTTAAAGACTAGGGAATAATGTAATAAACATCTTTGTATACACTCAATTTAAGACATAAAAGATTACAAATAAAACTGAAACTCTAGTTTATGCCTCTCTGGTCCTGTTCTTTCCCTTCAGTAACTATTCTGAATTTTTTGGTTAGAATTTGATGTCATTCCCATGCGTGTTTTTATACTGTTATTATGTATGTATACATACATACTTGCTTGTGTGAATCTATGACAACATGTAATATTATATGTTTAGAAGTATTAATGATACTGGAACATCCTTCTACAACTTATATTCATTCAACATTGTGTTTTTGTGATTTCTGTATTATATTCTTTAAGATTACCTTGTCAAATTCTGTGAAAAATACCCTGGAAATTTCTTTTGGAATTTCATTGGTTTCTTCTGGGAAGGATTGACTTACATTTTTTCTAAACTTATTTAGGTGTTTTTCTTTAAGTTTCCTCCATAAAGTTCTTTGATGTCTAGATAACTGGTTGGTTTTTATTGAAAAAGTTATATTTTGTTAGAGTTGATCTTGGCTAGGACGGCACTTGCTTTTTTTTCCAACAACTTTGCTGAATTCTCTTTATTCTAATGGAGACATTTTTTTCTGCCTGTTATATGTGCTGTGATGTAAATTAAAAAGCAAAAACTCAGGGGTGCCTGGGTGGCTCAGTTGTTAAGCGTCTGCCTTCAGCTCAGGTCATGATCCCAGGGTCCTGGGATCGAGCCCCGCATCGGGCTCCCTGCTCCG